CACCTCACACTACTGCAGTCAGGGAACTGAAGTGCGTTGCAAGTCTACACGGCCCAAGAGCGATGCAGACAATATCCCTAAGTGCTATATAGTGCATAAAACATGAAATACAATTGTGTCAGAAGCTAGAATACTCCATTCTACTGATTACACAGCAACACAGTAAATGACCATATGACCTGTCTTTGTAATACTCATTTGTACTAAATTGTTATCTGTTTTACAATAATTTTTGTACCACTGAATATATCATTGCTTAGTTAATCTTAAGTTAATTTTAAGCCTGCCTATAATGCTCTGCATACAAGTAGTACACTCTGTAATCATTATTTTACTACATGTAAACCCCACAATAACCAAATTCTGTAAACTCAGCATTGTAATCCTTATAGAGAATAAACTTTGAATTGAATTGAATTGAACTGTAAAGAAAGACCATAAGCCTATGACGCATATAAACAAAGTCAGCAGACTGATGGATGTTGCTCCCACTCAGTCTCGGCTGGGCTAGAAATACCTCAGTGTTTGCACCACCAACTAATGTAGATCTAACCACACGTAAACTTTCTTAGCAGAGTTCTTCTCACACCCTCTGTCATTATGTGCTTTTATATGATAAGCAAAAATTTGACAGAGAATTCCTTTACAAATATTCAAGAAATATTTCTAAATATTTCTTGAATATTTCTTGAATATTTTTTAAATATTTCTCCCCATCCCTAGGTTTAGCACTTCTTTTTTATTATAATAATATTATTTCTTCCCATCCCACCCCCAAAAAAGACACATTACTAAAACTCTTCCCATATGTTTTAATAAAACTACCATTTATACAAATATTTTCTTAATTAGATATCCTCGAAGGGGGACCTATAAACGGTTACCAGATTTTGTTTTTTCCTCCAACTTTTCGATTTTCTTTCGCTCATAAGTCGACAAGGCCTTATTTGACCAGCTTCAAATTTTCAACGCTTGTACACGATAACAAAGGTCAGATTCTTGGAACATATGGCATGTGCACGTATCCTATTATTAAAGTTACTCAACCCATTCTTAGCGTCCTAGAATGATTCAAATAGCTTTTAAAGCTCTTAGTAGCATAGCTTCAAGCCTTCGAAAAGTTGTCTCTTAATTCCACTACATCAAAGAGTGAAATTCAAGAGTGTAGGTGAAGACTCGCTCATTTTATGTGTAAAAATAATGTGATTTTTTCCCATTAAATCACGCTAACTAAATTTCGGTTTACGTCTGAATGGCTTCAGTATTTAATGCCGGATGCCTCTTGCAGTCAACATAGTACCTATTAAGTTTTTTTTTTTGTGATGGGGCAGATTTGTTAGTGCAGTAAAATAAAAATCTTGAAATCATTGGAATCCATGACATAACTGGAGAATGCCTCTTTCGATTGGCTTCAAATTTTCGCCTCTGCTGTGGTTTTTTGAAATCAAGGTTGGTGCTTTTTTCACATTGCCAATTTCATAGTATAAATAGTAATTTTCATGTATATTTTGCAACTAAAGAATGCTGCTTCTGATCGACTTAAAAATATTTATGATGAAGCATTCTGTAGTAAGGATCATACCTGGATAGTATACCTGGAGAGGGTTTCGGGGGTCAACGCCCCCGCGACCCGGTCTGTGACCAGGCCTCTTGGTGGATCAGGGCCTGATCAACCAGGCTGTACTGTTGGCCACGCGCAACCCGACGTACAAACCACAGCCCGGCTGGTCAGGTACTGACTTTAGGTGCCTGTCCAGTGCCTGCTTACGGACAGTCAGGGGTCTATTGGTAATCCCCCTTATGTATGCTGGGAGGCAGTTGAACAGTCTTGGGCCCCTGACACTTATTGTGTCTCTTACCGTACTCGTGGCGCCGCTGCTTTTCATCGGGGGAATGTTACATGTCCTGCAGAGACTTTTGCTTTCATAGGGAGTGATTTTCATGTGCAAGTTTGGTACTAATCCCTCTAGAATTTTCCAAGTGTATATTCAAATTCAAATTCAAATTCAAACTTTATTCTCTATAAGTATTACAATGCTGAGTTTACAGAATTTGGTTATTGTGTGGTTTACATGTAGTAAAATAATAATTACAGAGTGTACCACTAGAACGCCTAGCATGGCTAGGCATTTCGGGCAGACTTATATTGTCATGTATCTTTCTCGCCTGCGTTTCAGGGGATACAAATCAATGGACTTCAACCGTTTCCAGTAATTTAGGTGCTTTATCGTACTTATGTGTGCCGTGAAAGTTCTCTGTACATTCTCCAGGTCAGCAATTTCGCCAGCCTTGAAGGTGGCAGTTAGTGTACAACAATATTCCAGCCTAGAGAGAACAAGCGATTTGAAGAGAATCATCATGGGCTTTGCGTCCCTAGTTTTGAAGGTTCTCATTATCCAACCTATCATTTTTCTAGCAGATTATTATTATAATAAGGGGAAGCGCTAAACCCGTACGATTATACAGAACCTGTGGGGAGGGGGAGGATGGACGGTATTCAGGCTTAATTCAGGGAACTGGAGCACAGATTCATTTCCCTAGATCAAGAGCCCCTCACTAGCATCAAGGAACCTTCCTCGAGAGGTTTCTAGCAGATAAGGTAGATACATTGTCGTGATCTTAGAAGGTGTAAGATGCACCAGTGTTTAAAATTAGAACTATTCAGATGATGGACATTCTAAAATAATTTCACAGAAAAATGTGCCACAAAATTTTTCTACTAAACTCGCTCAATATTTTGAACCATCGTCTGTGTAAGGTCCACCAGCGTGGAGAGTTTGAAGCCGAGCAGAATAGGCATGTTCAAGTTATCTCACGGAATTGTGAGTCCTGGAGGTGAGTCCTGGAGATGTGTCCTGGAGGTGGGTCCTGGAGGTGAGTCCTGGAGGTGAGTCCTAGAGGTGAGTCCTGGAGGTGAGTCCTGGAGGTAAGTCCTGGAGGTGAGTCCTGGAGGTAAGTCCCGGAGGTGAGTCCTGGAGGTGAGTCCTGGAGGTAAGTCCCGGAGGTGAGTCCTGGAGGTGAGTCCTGGAGGTGAGTCCTGGAGGTGAGTCCTGGAGGTGAGTCCTGGAGGTGGGAAGTATAATGCCTGAAGGAAGGGTGGGAATATTGCTATTTGGAGAGGTATCTGAAGTATAATGTCGACGCGCCTCTGCTAGACAGTGATTGAGTGAGCGATGGTCAAGTGTTTCATCTTTTTTTCAGGACACCTAACCTCGGTGGGAGACAGCCGGTGTGTTGAAAGTTTGTTTCACTGTAACCATGGGAAAGTACGTAACAGCTAGGGGTCATATAACACCTGGGTCATGGGAGGCATTTACCTGGAGTTACCTGGAGAGAGTTCCGAGGGTCAACGCCCCCGCGGCCCGGTCTGAGACCAGGCCTCCTGGTGGATCAGAGCCTGATCAACCAGGCTGTTGCTGCTGGCTGCACGCAAACCAACATACGAGCCACAGCCCGGCTGATCCGGAACTGACTTTAGGTGCTTGATCCGAGGAAGGATACGTTAAGTTCCGTTCCAAAGATCAAGACCCCTTCACCAGCATCAAGGTAAGTAAGTAAGTAAGTTTATTCAGGTATACACAAATACAGTTACATAGAATTATCATACATAGCAGCATATGTGTAGAGAACCTAGGATAACCTCTCTAGGGAAGATTTCGATCTATAAACTTAGCAACCTGGTACCTATACAGACCAATAACAATTTCAAATTTTCTCTAGATACAGTATATTAGAGTTGAAAATTTAAAGCCGATCAGAAGATGCATTCTCAAGTTATGGACTAAACCAGGGGTAGGGAACCTTGTTATGTTGGAAGGCTGTGGCTCGTACGTTGGTTTGCGTGCAGCCAGCAGTAACAGCCTGGTTGATCAGGCTCTGATCCACCAGGAGGCCTGGTCACAGACCGGGCCGCGGGGGCGTTGACCCCCGGAACTCTCTCCAGGTAAACTCCAGGTAATCTAATAAGGCCGCGTTCAAGAAATTTTTATTAAATATATTGTAAAATGTTGGTTATTTTTATAATAAAGTTAATTAATATATAATAACTTCAGGAAAAATAATTCACTCAGAAGACTACATTCACTGCCCTAGAAGGCCGCACACAACCGCCGTTTTCGATATACCATGTCGGGGGATACCTAGTTTTTGTGAGTTACTTTTCTTCAGTCAACAGAACTTCTGGGATCTCTGTAGTGAGTTACTTTTCTTCAGTCAACAGAACTTCTGGGATCTCTGTAGTGAGTTACTTTTCTTCAGTCAACAGAACTTCTGGGATCTCTGTAGTGAGTTACTTTTCTTCAGTCAACAGAACTTCTGGGATCTCTGTAGTGAGTTACTTTTCTTCAGTTTAAACAAAAACTTCTGGGATCTCTGTAGTGAGTTACTTTTCTTCAGTCAACAGAACTTCTGGGATCTCTGTAGTGAGTTACTTTTCTTCAGTCAACAGAACTTCTGGGATCTCTGTAGTGAGTTACTTTTCTTCAGCCAACAGAACTTCTGGGATCTCTGTAATATTTTGGCTGAGATATACAGGATGGGTATGGGATGTATAAGACAAATGTCAAATAAATTACTACTTACCAGTCCTGGGGTTTGTAATGCAAATGTTTAGACTATATTGTAACTGTTTATGTTTTGATGACATTATCATTATCACTGTTGTTTCACTTCAAAAATTTTGGCTGAATACATTATAATCTCAAACAGATCCTTATAGCTGTGGGACGCACAACAATGTTATCAGTCCAGTGGCAATACAGATTACAGATTACAGAGGTACATAATGGGTCCAGGGACTGGGCCCCCAAAGTTTTGATAGCTGAACTAGGTACAAAGGTAATGAACGATAGCTCCTTTCTTGAGGGCTTTAATTTCTGTCGCTTTGATTACATACAGAAAAAGTATGCGCAGACGAAAGAATCCATAAACCATTTCCGGGACCTTGATCACAGTTGGCAGGGGTGCAGGGTTCAGAAATACACCACTGGGTGGTGAACAGAGGATGGGTGGGTAGGCAAAGCCTCCCGGATATAAAATGGGACGCCCTCTCTCCCATCTCCCAGTGCTAACTCCACCTCAGTGTCGACACTCAGACGACGGACGTATACATACACGTGCGTGTGTGCACACCCCTCAGTGGTAATCCAAAGTCTGACGAGGACTAAAGACGATGGCGACGGTGCAGAAAAAGACAACCCGTACAACGAAGAAAGTCACGGAGACAAAGGGTCAAGTTCAGTCCCAGTCCACCGTGACCAAGTCTTCCCAAGTATCGTCTCAGAAAACCTTGACAATCACCAAGAAGGGTCAGTTTTTCAGCGATTCATTCTTCGAGGACACGCGGCAAGACTTCCAAGATGCTATCAAAGATGTGCTGACAAAATGTGGCGACAAGTCCTCCACGGGCGACGACATCACTACCTACAGGAGCCTACGAACCCGAGAGCTGAAGGATGAAAACCAAGCCATTAAGTCAACTGATGATGAACTCTACCACAAGGTGAAGCATATTTCATGCGAAATATTTACAAATGGGATTTTATTGGCCAAACATATATCTAATTGTGTAAAAAAAAGAAGGCCCACATGACGCCTGCTTTACACAGTTACGTTCACAAAAATGTGAAATGTTAATTTTGTCTTTATATATGCTCATGCGTTCAGGTTCAGACCAAAAAAATTTTATTTTATATTGTTGCGCTAGATTGTAGTGGACGTGAATGACTTCATAAACGGCGGGGAGGTGAGCGTGAAGACTGTGGAGGAGCGGGAGGTGGTGGTGGAGGGACGTGTGGAGAGGAAACAAGGCAACACCAGGTCCAGCAAGAGTTTCAAACGTAGTTTTATCCTGCCGGAGGACATTGAGGTGGAGGCACTCACTGCTGTGGTCTCATCTGACGGTGTTCTTATCATCAAAGCCCCGAAGAAGGTAGGTGATATTAATACTACCTGCCAAATCAGCTTTAGACACACAGTTGCGAGAAAGTAATGGTAACTTATGTAACACTTATCATTACAAAGAACCAGACACTAGCATGCATATTATTGATGACACTGGAAGGATTGTTAGCTATCTATCAGACAAAAATATTTCCCAATAAATCGTTTACCAGTCAGTGGAAGAAAAACCTTATGAATTCTGGACAGAAATGTTTCAGTGAAACGCGGTAATAAGAGGAAATCCATTTAGATATTTCGGATTTTGCCTCGACTGGAGTGTATTTATTGGACTTCTCCACTCATCCTGCGGGCGAACATTACGCCAAGAAGATGGTATTGAGAGTGCCACTCATCCTGTGAGTGAACAATTCCTCCATAAATACGCCATTAAGCAGCATTATTCATCCTGTGAGTGAACATCCTCACCACAAAGATAGCATGGGAAGCGTCACTTGTCCTGTGAGTGAACGTTACCTCCGTAAGGATGACACTACAAGTCAGTTTAACAAGCTGTTGATAGCATTCAGGTCATCCTTGACTGTGTCAACATTCAGGCAAATATAATGATAATTTGGAAAGGTGAATGTTGCAACAGCCAAGGATTGACCTTTCATCGCCAGTAGTGTGCTAAGCTATACTGTTTTAATGCCTTATATTCACTGTCATAATGAATGGTGAGTAGTTCACTCACAGGATGAACATGTTCATTGCAGAGTATCTCATCTTTTGTCACGTAGTTAGGCATACCTCGAAAGGGGACCGTTAAGAGGTTTACTGAAATTTTTCGCATTTCTTTCTTCATCCAACTTTATTAATAACAAAAAAGGGCACAATACCGTGACTGGAACGATACACAAATAACCCGCACTTAGAAGAGAGGAGCTTACGACGACGTTTCGGTCCGACTTGGACCATTTACAAAGTCACACTTTGTGACTCATTATTTTACTTCGCTCATAACTCGAGAATGCCTCATCCAACTGGCTTCAAATTTTCAACATTTGTGTACGGTACCGAGCACCAAATTTTTGGAACAACTGGTGTACTTACGTGCCCTATGATAAAAGTTATTGAGTCCATTACCATCCTCCTGGAATGGCTCGGATAACTTGCAAAATCCTCAGTGGCGGAGCTTAAACCTTTCAAAATATGAGCCCAAAAAATCGATTATGGTGGAGAGTAAAATTCAGCAGCATTGAATTTTACTCTCCGCCAAATTCGACCATTATGTGTAAAATAACATGAAAGTTTATTTCCCGTTAATTATAAGTTTGCCTCTTCTGAAGAGTCTCAGTATTTCACAGCTGATGCATCTTAGGGCCAGGAGAGTAACTCATTAAGTTTCGTTTGTCTCAGACTGAGCCGCGGGGGCGTTGACCCCCGAAACTCTCTCCCGGTAAACTCCAGGTGTACAGGTAACTTTGATGATGTGGTAAAATAATAAAAGAACTCGGAATTGTTGGAGAATTACTCACCCAATCGGCTTCAAATTTTCATCGCTTGTGTAATGTATCTTGGATAAGATTCCCGTGAATTTTTGCATACATGGACGCCCAATACACGGTACTACACAGGTCATTGTTTCGGTGTGATAGATGGAGACACAGGTTCCTCTGATCGACTTCAGAATTTCAACACTTGTATCCTACTTATAAGGTTAGGTTGGTATATTTAATGGAGTGTGTTGATGCCATTTTATCACTTTTAATCTCGAAATGGTACAATATAATTTTACCGTATTACATTATTTTACCTTGATGCTGGTGAGGGGCTCTTGATCCAAGAAACTGAACTATCTTCCTACGGGTTTAGCGCTTTCCTCTGATTTAAAATATAACAACTGTAAACATCATCAATCTTCAATGGCTGATGCATCGAATGAAATGGATGTAACATTTCATAGGTTAAGGCTGTGTAGGCATAGATTTTGTTAGATTCTGTAAGATAACTGGAAAATGTATCTTCTGGTCAGTTTTAAATAATGCTGATGTGTTTTCCTCAGAGGAAGCAGTCTCTTAATGTTAGGTTGTGTAAGTTACAATGTGCCCATTTTATTAATCAAATTGGATTCTGTGAAATCATTATAGAATGTATTTTCTGAGCAGAATTTAGTCAGAGTGTTTGACTTTATTTGGTTATCCTAGCTTAAATCGACTTAATGTTCTTATATTTACCTACAATACCTGTGAGTCCTCAAGATTATTGGCTCATGTAGGTTCCAATTTGCTATTTTTGGAAGAAATTTAAATACATACTGTTTTTCATATGATAATTTCTGACTGTCGTATCTGATTAGCTTCAACCTTCACATACTGATAACTTGATAGCGCAACCTCTGAGGGACTTCAAACTTGATGTGCTTATGTATTTTAAATTTTGGTCTCTTTTGTCCCTCTGAATGATTTGAATTAGGTTTGGTCTGTGTATGTAATTATTCATCAGTTTTACTGATGAAATTTGGATATTAGTTTCCTTACAATAACTAGTGAATGCATTTTCTTATTCCTTTCAAATCTTCAGTCTTCGACTGCATTATCAGTTTATACCGCACTCTGCACTATTCCAATCGCGTGCATCGAGGCACAGGGGACTAGATTTACGAAATACAGGGATACTGAAATACGTCTTGTTGATTTTTATCTTTACTAATGCCATCTGTTGGAGATGCGGATCACAATATTTTCTCTCATAACTTGAATTCTCTTTTTTTCCCGGGGGTTCACATGTGCCGCACCGGTGGCTATTTTGATCTTCCACGTGTGTTCTATACCTGTTTCTCTGTGTACACTTAGCACACAAGTCTTCACAGCTTCCTGACCAGAGTTTTAACTTCTCTCCCCACAGTTACTGCTGGTATTTACAGAGTAAAACTGTCAGTTGCTCTCTACATAATAACATCTTATCTAATCCTGTTAGAGTACTTCACCCATTCATTAGAGCAACACTTAAGTTCCTGTATTTAATAACGAATGTTAAGCTTTAAATTCTTAGCTATTATCCGTGGCCTTTGATTTTCGCCTTCTTGTCCTCACTAAACAAAACTGAAAATTAATATAAAAACTCTGTCGACAGGTTATCGTGGAAACAAATATTCCGACATTTATGCAACACTAATTATAACAATGAACTCACTAAAACGTAATAAGACAATTGCAAACAAACCATGTATTCTTGCTCGTTCCAAAGGTTGTGTACAATTGTGAATTACGATTAGAGAGTCATGATGGCGGCTTGGAGGGAACTTTGGGTTGAGTTCCCCACGGCCACGATGGTGGAGATTTACTTGTAAAAAACTTGCATTTTCGGTCACATGGGACCTATGCTAACCTTCTTATGGTGTATAAATATACCTAGTTGGATGAATCTTATTGCAGCTAGCTGGCCTAGTGGGTTACGTACTGGCCTGGAGTTTTACGACTCACTCGCCATGGGTTCGGTCCCTACCCATTCCCTGGTTTATAACACTAAGATAACTCGCGCTCTCCATTCTCTATTCGGTCAGTGATATAATCTTAATATATAAATAACTTTCACCATTAGTTAGTTTAATCTGATTTAATTAGCGTAGCTTGTCAAGAAACTTTATAAAGTCAGTCAGATAAATAAATGAGAAACTCATTTGGCCAGAGGTTCGTGTCGTGAGTTGCACTTGTGACAGATTTCCTCGAAGCACAAAATTTGCTAGCAATATAATTATATTGCTAGCAAATTTTGGAAATTTTACTCTGAAAGCCGAGGTCAAGTTTAAAAATAACATTAAAACTTGCAAGAGCTGTTTTTTCCCCTTTAACGTATAAAATGTCGGCGGAAAAAATGACAAGAATTAAAACAAAGACACAAGTTGCCGATTTTTTTTATTGGTACAATGTTTCACTCTGTAAGTTTGTTCAACAACTTGTACTTTGCTATATATACCATTTGGCAATGCGTCATCTCATCCAAAATTCATTATAAATGAATTTGGAAAAGAATTTATTAGAAATTAGTTTAGAAAAGAATTAGAAGTGAATTTAGGTGTAACTCTGAATGCGACTCCTGCTAATTTTTACTCTCTATTCATGAATGTCTAGTTAGTTTAATATGTTTATTATGCACCCCATACCCATCCTGTGGACGGTAGTCACCCCATACCCATCCTGTGGACGGTAGTCACCCCATACCTATCCTGTGGACGGTAGTCACCCCATACCCATCCTGTGGACGGTAGTCACCCCATACCCATCCTGTGAGCGGTAGTCACCCCATACCCATCCTGTGGACGGTAGTCACCCCATACCCATCCTGTGGACGGTAGTCCCCATACCCATCCTGTGGGCGGTAGTCACCCCATACCCATCCTGTGGGCGGTAGTCACCCCATACCCATCCTGTGGACGGTAGTCACCCCATACCCATCCTGTGGACGGTAGTCACCCCATACGCATCCTGTGGACGGTAGTCACCCCATACCCATCCTGTGGACGGTAGTCACCCCATACCCATCCTGTGAGCGGTAGTCACCCCATACCCATCCTGTGGGCGGTAGTCACCCCATACCCATCCTGTGAGCGGTAGTCACCCCATACCCATCCTGTGGACGGTAGTCACCCCATACCCATCCTGTGGACGGTAGTCACCCCATACCCATCCTGTGGACGGTAGTCACCCATACCCATCCTGTGGACGGTAGTCACCCCATACCCATCCTGTGAGCGGTAGTCACCCCATACCCATCCTGTGGGCGGTAGTCACCCTATACCCATCCTGTGAGCGGTAGTCACCCCATACCCATCCTGTGGGCGGTAGTCACCCCATACCATCCTGTGAGCGGTAGTCACCCCATACCCATCCTTGTGAGCGGTAGTCACCCCATACCCATCCTGTGAGCGGTAGTCACCCCATACCCATCCTGTGGGCGGTAGTCACCCCATACCCATCCTGTGGACGGTAGTCACCCCATACCCACCCTGTGGACGGTAGTCACCCCATACCCATCCTGTGAGCGGTAGTCACCCCATACCCATCCTGTGAGCGGTAGTCACCCCATACCCATCCTGTGAGCGGTAGTCACCCCATACCCATCCTGTGAGCGGTAGTCACCCCATACCCATCCTGTGGGCGGTAGTCACCCCATACCCATCCTGTGGACGGTAGTCACCCCATACCCATCCTGTGAGCGGTAGTCACCCCATACCCATCCTGTGAGCGGTAGTCACCCCATACCCATCCTGTGAGCGGTAGTCACCCCATACCCATCCTGTGGACGGTAGTCACCCCATACCCATCCTGTGGACGGTAGTCACCCCATACCCATCCTGTGAGCGGTAGTCACCCCATACCCATCCTGTGGGCGGTAGTCACCCCATACCCATCCTGTGAGCGGTAGTCACCCCATACCCATCCTGTGGGCGGTAGTCACCCATACCCATCCTGTGAGCGGTAGTCACCCCATACCCATCCTGTGGGCGGTAGTCACCCCATACCCATCCTGTGAGCGGTAGTCACCCCATACCCATCCTGTGAGCGGTAGTCACCCCATACCCATCCTGTGAGCGGTAGTCACCCCATACCCATCCTGTGAGCGGTAGTCACCCCATACCCATCCTGTGAGCGTTAGTCAAAAGATTACAGAGGTACATAATGGGTCCAGGGACTGGGCCGCTAAGTTACGATAGCTGAACTAGTTACAAAGGTAATGAGCTCCAGGTAGATCTGGTCACAATCATGGCAAGTTACAAAGTAATGAGCCACTGACTATAATATTAAAATATTAAGAATATTTAATTAATTAATCTCATACAAAAGGTAAAACTTTAAGGTATATTGCTCAGAATATTGCCGAACAGTTAGTCTGACATCTTTATTATGCACCCCATACCTGTGTTGTGGGTGGTAGTCAGAGGACTACAGAGGTACGCAATGGGTCCAAGAACTGGACCCCAAAGTTTTGATAGCTGAATAAGTTACAGCGTTAATGAACTATTTACATGTTTATATCCGGTCACAATCGTAATGAGTTACTTATGAAGACATTAATTTGGTCACATACACGAAGTGGTAATGCTTTATTTACAGTGAGCAAAGTCAGGGTATTTTTCCAGAATGGTTTGTAATATACCGCTGTGAATAAAATACTTTGGCATTTCTTGAACATTTCTGAGTGAGTTGTCTCAGAATGCATTAATTTGACCGCACTCCAGTACATAATGACGCAGGGTGTGACAATAGTCCATCTGGCAAAGTTTACATTTGGTTTGGTCTACATCTGGTGGTGGTGATTTAACTTCTGAACAGCAAGCAGACAAATACACGCATCAAAGTCAGTCTTGGCAACACATTTTTCCCAGAGACTATATATTAAGAGAGCTACGTCTCTTATATAACAATCAGAGGTTCCGTTGGATGGTCCAACATTCTTCTTAAGAATCTTAAAGAAAATAAATTCCTCAGAATTTTCTTTTCTCTTGTTAACCCCTCCGGGACCTAGTTCCTGGGCCTTTTGCGTATCTATATGCTCATACTGTACAGTACACAGGATGGATATGGGGTGCAAAATATACTAGCTGCTTCGGTGGCAAATTCTAAAATCTAAATTTTATTCTCATGATGAGAGACGAGAGAGAGCTGTTGGTGTGTGTGGGATGGTCTTGGCAGACAGAGAGTGCAAAAGCCAAGTGGGTCTCGTCACACACCTTTCAAGGTCCTTGTCGTCTTAATGCGAGTGTTGAGAGCTTCATAATGTAAGCATCCAAGACAAACACTGAAGTGGACACCTGTTTAAACTCACCTGAGGGTGTGTAATAACAGGCTTCAATGAGCATCAACATAATTTTGTAGACGGACCGATGAAACTGACATCCATGGTATTTTTTTTTTAAATATCTAGTGATACGGATGCACTAACTCATGAATTTATTTTCCTCGACACTGAATTATATTTAAAAGTGAAAAAATACTGGATAGAGACCATAGCTCATCTAGTGTTAATTAGCACGGACCTCATGCTATTATTTATTAAATTTATTCACACTAAAAGGCAGATTAAACTCATAAATTCACTAACTCCTTCAAGAGCGAACTCGTTGTTTATCTAGTGCAGCTGCTCGTTAATTTGTTATATTACATGGCACTGATTGTTACAATTACTAACATATGCCAGTAATGCCACACAGATAACCTGATAATTCAGCTCATAATGCAGTAAGTGGTACTAACATTGGCTGGTTTGGTAACCAGTTCACCATCACTCATTAATGTTTTAATCCCTAATAGCCTTGAATATAGGTTACGAAACAGGAGTAAAATGCAATATTATTTCCTCCAAGCTTGTTTAAGTAGACACGTCTGTGATCGTCTTCGATAATATCTTCTCTTTCTCTAAAGATTTTATAGTTACAAATATGCATATGTTTTCTTTCTGTAACTAATGCAAGAGAGTTACATTATTTTGGAAATGTTTTATTACTAAAGTCATAGACTGGTTTTGTTAAATTAATATTTCGAAAACTCCCATAGGTGATTGACTGTAAATATTCTGTTACTTATAATTTCTGCATATATTTGGACATTATGGTTCAATAGAAATAATAGAGTCAGAAAAACAGTCTCGAAGGCTAATAATATAACAAATGTGACGAACAATGTTGAATGTTTATACGAGATGCTGAACATCTGTTATATTAATTATTGCCACTTTAAATATGATTATACTATTAACGAATAATACACTTACGATCTAAATGACTTATAATTTGTATAACATTATCCTGATAAAATATAAACAAAATCATAAAATATTTTGACAACTGGAAATAATTCAAAAGAGCTTGAAAAGAAGAATATTTTTTTTTTTAAGATGGGGGTATTCTTGCACCTTGTCAAGGCTGACCTCACTGCTTGCTAGGTAATTAATTAAACAACTTAAACTAAGCTTAATTAGGCTAATTATTTTATCCCAGTCTTTTTTATTTACACATTAATTTAAAGAATTTATTAATGCTTTATTATACCTTTCTTTCATGTTTTGTCCTGATACGTTTCAGCCATCCACTGCAACGCAGTCACAGATTAGCGTCAAAGTACAAAAGCAAGTTCAAAGTTCTGTCACCAAAGAAACAACAGGACAAGCTGTCGACAAAACAGTCTCTGTTAAAACTGAGAACGTCCAGCATACAACCAAGGCTTCACAAGATAATGTTGTCAGCCAGAAAGTGACCCAACAAGTGAAAACTGTGAGGGAGAGTACCAGCACCAGCGACACTGCCAGCAGACCCCTGACCAATCGTCAAAAAAGGTCTCTTCTTTGACGACTCTTTCTTCGAGGATTCTCGGCAACCTTTCCAGACAGCTATCAAGCAAGTGCTTGAAAAGTCCAATGTGACATCAACTCAAGTCGACGACATCACCAACTACAGGAATCTCCGTCAGCGAGACCTGAAGGAGGAGAACCAGGCTGTTACTGTCAGTGAAGATCAGCAAACTCATAAGGTTGGTTACTCGTACCAGTTCCAGTTATCTTAACATTTACCTGGAAATGGATGTAATTGTTCTCTGATATAATTTGAAATAATATGGTAACATTAAAATTTGCCGGATTGTTAATTGTTAAACAACTGAAAGTTTTTAAAAGGTAATAATTACATTTGCACCAGATAATTGTTGATGTACAAGATTTTATAAACGGAGGAGAAGTGACTGTCAAGACGGTGGATGAGAGGGAAGTGGTTATTCAAGGTCACATTGAGAAGCAGGAAGGTAACACCAGGTCTTCCAAGAGCTTCTGTAAGCGATTTGTTCTTCCGGAAGACATAGAGGTGGAGTCTGTGACGTCTGTGGTGTCATCTGATGGTGTCCTCACTATCAAAGCACCGAGAAAAGTGAGCAACTACGTCTTTAATCCTTTCATAGGATGGCCTTTGATGCTGAAGGAGGGCTGTTGATTTACATTGCGTCCAGCTAAGTTCTGTGTACAATACTGCGTTGAGCCTTTAACATGTCCTTCAGTATTTCAGCTCTGCTTGTCACACCGTACATATTTCTATACATAACAGGCTGATACATACTTAATTTCTATGCTTATATTATTAAATCATAAAATACTCTACATTTTTCATACATAAACGTCAGGGAATATTAAGCCTCTATTCTTTTGACTGCCGCTCACACGATGGGTAAGATTCGCACAATAAAAATAAGCAAGATAATTTTTTTTTTCACGTTAACGACTTACCTTCTTGCGTTGCAGCCATCAGCGTTGCCGCTGACGAGTGGCGGTCAAGCCATTAACATAGAGAAAACAGAAACCAAGAAAGTGGTTCAAAAATCAACCGTGACGACGACTGAAGGTCAAGAGGACGTGAAAGAAGCGCTGGTGACACCACAACAAGCTCCGAGAGTGACTCAGGATATCACTGATAAAGATCAAACAGTAACTACTGTGACTAAACAAATCAAAACTGTGACGGACACCACTACCAGTGACACCGCCGGAAGACCTTTACCAATTACTAAAAAAGGCTCCTTCTTCGAAGACTCTTTCTTCGAGGATTCTCGCCAACTTTTCCAGACAGCTGTGAGGCAGGTGCTTGAAAAGTCCAACGAGACATCTCAAACTGACGACATCACCACTTACAGGAATTTGCGTCAACGTAACCTGAAGGAGGAGAATCAAGCCGTTACTGTCAACGAAGATCAGAAGACTCATAAGGTGGGTCATAAATATAGTAAAAAAAATAAAATTCTTTTCAGAGTAGAAAATAGACTAGCATATTATAATATTATATATATATATATATATATATATATATATATATATATATATATATATATATATTATATATATATATATATATTATATATATATATATATATATATATATATATATATATAAATTGCTGTACAAAGTATACAGATTCCTCTATCAACTGTTATCTTGTCATTTGATTCTTTTATCCAAAACAAGAGTAATAGATTATCTTTGGGTGATAAAGCAATGCTTTACAAGGATATATTACCTGTTGCCAAAATTTTAAAATAAGTTGAATTATAGATTCACAGAGAGACGATAATCCCCGGCCGACACTAGTATTTATATTAATTACTTTGAAAAACATTATTTGCATTTTCAATACTGCATTTATTTATTTTTTGAAAGCTAGGATATAATTAATTATTCTTACCTATTTTGGAAAATACGTGTTTACATGAATATTTTTCAGATAATAGTTGATGTACAAGATTTCTTGAACGGAGGAGAAGTCACCGTGAAGACGGTGGATGAAAGGGAAGTGGTTATTGAAGGTCACATTGAGAAGCAGGAAGGTAACACCAAGTCTTCCAAGCGCTTCTGTAAGCGATTTGTTCTTCCGGAAGACATAGAGGTGGAGTCTGTGACATCTGTGGTGTCATCTGATGGTGTCCTCACTATCACAGCGCCAAGAAAAGTGAGCAACTCTCAGCCTATATCATGTTCAGAATAAACATTACTTCTAATTATTTTTTTTTGTGTGTGTGATATAAACATTAACCTGCATATAATGTCACATCTTGTATTTTACAGCCATCAGCAGTACCAGTAACGGACGCTACTAAAGCCGTTAGTATAGAGAAAACAGAAACCAAGAAACAAATTCAGACCACCGTCACAACGACTGAGGAACAAGACGTGAAGGAGCCACAAGTCGTAATTCAGCAAGTTCCACAAGTTACACAGGATGTTACCAGCCAGAAAGATACTGAGCAGGAGAAAACCGTGACAACTGTGACTAAACAAGTGAAAACTGTGACAGACACCACCACCAGCGACACCGCCAGCAGGCCATTACCAATCGTTAAAAAGGGTTCCTTCTTCGACGATTCTTTCTTTGAGGATTCTCGTGAACTGTTCCAGACAGCTGTCAGACAGGTGTTAGAAAAGTCCAATGTGACATCAACTCAAGTCGACGATATCACCAACTACAGGAATCTCCGTCAGCGAGACCTGAAGGAAGAGAATCAAGCTGTTACTGTCAATGAAGATCAGAAGACTCATAAGGTTAGTTTAGGTCAAAATGATGTTATTTGTACTTTCATGGTCACAACAGAATACATACGAGTAGGAGACTGGAGAGAGTGCTAGTTTCGATGTTTTCAGAGTGGTCATTAAAATCGTAAGCATCGAAGGATCATGAGTTCAAACATCACGACAATCGACGACTCTAATATAGTTCAGATTTAGATTTTGCCACATAAGTGGCTAGTTTATTGTGCGCCCCATATCCATCCTGAACGGTAGCGCAAGAGGATATGGATACACAAAAGGCCTAGGAACTAGGCCCCAAAAGGGTTAGCAGGTGCTTATAGAGGCGCTACAGTCTCTAGCAGGTCATGCCAGCGGCTGCTTTTTGGTCCCCCCCCCCTCTCTCCCATGACAGGTTAAATGGAACCATTGAAATTGTCTCGGTTTTTAGATCAGAAAATGAACTACAAATAATATTTATTTGTTTGATAAATTAATTAGATAAATAATCTTTCCTACACAAAACTCAGAAACATCTCAACGAGATTGTGTTTTTTTTTTTTTTTACTCAGTTGAATTTACAGGCTGAAGTGTATTATAATATTTTGTGATCCTGATATTTTATTAATTTTAATAAGAGCCGGCAGCTGCTTATCTCGGGACGGTTATAAATTATACACACACACACATACCGACACACACTAACATATCGACACACAGGTTCACACAAACAAGAACGTCAAGAAATTAGAGAAAGTGCAAAGGTTTGCAACAAGACTAGTTCCAGAGCTACGGGGAATGCTCTACGAAGAAAGGTTAAGGGAAATCTGCCTGACAACACTGGAAGACAGGAGAGCTAGGGGAGACATGATAACGACATACAAAGTACTGCGAGGAATTGACATGGTGGACAGAGACAGGATGTTCCAGAGATGGAACACAGAATCAAGGGGTCACAATTGGAAGTTGAAGACTCGGATGAGTCAAAGGGATGTTGGGAGGTATTTCTTTAATCATAGAGTTGTCAGAAAGTGGAATAGTCTGGCAAGTGACGTAGTGGAGACAGGAACTATACATAGTTTTAAGACGAGGCTTGATATAGCTCATGGAGCAGGGAGAGAGTGGACCTAGTAGTAATCAGTGTAAAGGTGGGGCCAGGAGCTATGAATCGACCCCTACAACCACAAATAGGTGAGTACAAACACACACACACACACACACACACACACACACACACACACACACACACACGGGAGCTAAGACTCGACCCCTACAACCACATTAGGTGAGTACACACATACACACACTCGGGCGCGCCCATGTAAAATATTAGCATCATTATATTATTAAAAAAAAATTTTTGACATTACTACCAAAACATTTACTGTTACAATATTTTGCTAAAAGCCATCAAATTTATCAGTTATTCTCGCTTACTTCCTAAAGATTCAGTTTACAAGAATATTTTTCAGATAATAGTTGATGTACAAGATTTCTTGAACGGAGGAGAAGTCACCGTGAAGACGGTGGATGAAAGGGAAGTGGTTATTGAAGGTCACATTGAGAAGCAGGAAGGTAACACCAAGTCTTCCAAGCGCTTCTGTAAGCGATTTGTTCTTCCAGAAGACATAGAGGTGGAGTCTGTGACATCTGTGGTGTCATCTGATGGTGTCCTCACTATCACAGCGCCAAGAAAAGTGAGCAACTCTCAGCCTGTATCCCCTTAAGGAAGGTTCCTTGATGTTGGTGAGGGGCTCTTGATTTAGGGAATTGGATCTGTGCTCCAGTTCCCCAAATTAAGCCTGAATGCCTTCCACATCTTCCCCCCAGGCGCTGTATAATCCTCCGGGTTTAGCGCTTCCCCCTTGATTATAATAATAATAATCTCAGCCTATATCATGTTCAGAATAAACATTACTTCTAATTATTTTTTTTTGTGTGTGTGATATAAACATTAACCTGCATATAATGTCACATCTTGTATTTTACAGCCATCAGCAGTACCAGTAACGGACGCTACTAAAGCCGTTAGTATAGAGAAAACAGAAACCAAGAAACAAATTCAGACCACCGTCACAACGACTGAGGAACAAGACGTGAAGGAGCCACAAGTCATAATTCAGCAAGTTCCACAAGTTACACAGGATGTTACCAGCCAGAAAGATACTGAGCAGGAGAAAACCGTGACAACTGTGACTAAACAAGTGAAAACTGTGACAGACACCACCACCAGTGACACCGCCAGCAGGCCATTACCAATCGTTAAAAAGGGTTCCTTCTTCGATGATTCTTTCTTTGAGGATTCTCGTGAACTGTTCCAGACAGCTGTCAGACAAGTGTTAGAAAAGTCCAATGTGACATCAACTCAAGTCGACGACATCACCAACTACAGGAATCTCCGTCAGCGAGACCTAAAGGAGGAGAACCAAGCTGTTACTGTCAATGAAGATCAGAAGACTCATAAGGTTACTGTGATTCCCATATTTAATCATTCCATGGCATTGCAGCTCTGCTTTGTATATATTTATCTTCACAGTAATACATTTATAATGCTAATGCAATATTTTTAAATACTAAGAAATAAGTGATGTTTGAAAAAAAACTCAGTCGTATTAAGTAATGAATAAGTGTTTGTATATTTCAGATAATAGTTGATGTACAAGATTTCTTGAACGGAGGAGAAGTCACCGTGAAGACGGTGGATGAAAGGGAAGTGGTTATTGAAGGTCACATTGAGAAGCAGGAAGGTAATACCAAGTCTTCCAAGCGCTTCTGTAAGCGATTTGTTCTTCCAGAAGACATAGAGGTGGAATCTGTGACGTCTGTGGTGTCATCTGATGGTGTTCTCACTATTACAGCGCCAAGAAAAGTGAGCCAGTATCTTCATTATATACATAGGAAATCGAAATTGATATGTTTTCAAATATGTGATTGCATTGTGTTTTATTTTTTTTTATGGAAAGTTATTTCGGCGCTAATGCTGTTACATCCTTGTTTCACAGCCATCAACGAAGCAGATCGAAGGCAACATTGAGACTACACAAACTAAGAAAGTGGTGAAAACAACAACCATTACCACGATTGAAGGAGAGGAAGATAGTGAACCTGCTCCCGTCAAACCAAAGGAAGTTGTGAAAAAGCCTGACGAACACACTGTAACCCAAAAAGTTGATAAAGAGACCGTGTCTACTGTCAGTCAACTGGATAAAACTGTGACAGACAGCACCACGACAGGTACTGTCACTAAGGTTGTAACCATCATCAAGAAAGGTTCCTTCTTCGAAGACTCTTTCTTTGAGGATTCTCGACAACTCTTCCAGACAGCTGTCAGGAAGGTCCTGGAAAAGT